CGACGTATCGTCCACAGCAATTGTTGTTTTCAGTGATAATTGTAAAAAAAAAAAAAAGGAATGTAAACATCGCAAAATGCTCGACAAAAAAAAAAAAATGGTACGCCCACACTAGGGATCAAACCCGTGCCCTCTGCGTGTGAAGCGGACTTTTTTTCCACTGAGCTACTGAAGGAACTCTTTCATGCGTGCTAATGCAGCCGGTCGTCTGTATGTCCGAAGTTTGCTGCCGATTTCCCTCCAGTACAAGCGCTCCCAGCTTGAAGTCGGGCACCACCACGCATAGGCCACATTCGCATCTCGTAAATAAACCGTACGTGTGCGTATTCAACTCGAAGTAAGCACTTCGTGATTGACGTTTGCGCGAGCGATGTCTTCAGCCACGAGAAGGGACGACGGCTCGTCGACGTCTTCGTGCAAATCGGCTTGGAGTCGGGCGTGTCGTACGGGATGAATATCAGTTCTTTTGATTGGTCCAAAATTTCTCTTTCGAAGGGAGACAGAATTCGCCGGTACCGTGAACGACGGTTGTGAAGTAGAGGTCCAGCGCCCGTCGTCCGCTGCCATCCGCTAGTCCCACTTTCCTCGAAACGACGCCATGTTGAGAATTATGCAGTGAACGCACAGATGCTTCCGGTTGTCTGTGCAACCTTTTTTTTTTTTTTTCAATCAACGTATTTGCAGCTTTCTCGGAGCCACAAAAAAAAAATGGGTTTCATATATATTTTTTTTAATTTTTAATATTGACTGTGTGCCTTCAATGACCCACGACTTTGATTAAATTTGGTGATTTTGTTTACACCTTAGAAAACGGCCCGTGACCACGGAAAAGAGATTGAGCGAGACTCGAACCGGCCAGTTCTCGATCGGCGGTTTTCGGGCGGAAAGAAACCGAATTTCGAGCCGCAAATTCTGTTCTGGGTAGTTGGGCTCTCATATGTCACGTACAACTGAAAACTTCGGCGGGCGTAAATACCCTGTCAGTGTCCCTTTAAAGAGGGGCATCCGTGCTGTCCTCCCAAACGTCGTGTTTTTCTTTTCGTCCACTTTCTTTTTTTTGTGTAGCACAATTATATATATCCTACAATTATGTGTTCTACTCGCTGATCCACAGCATCCTTCCGAATTTCCTCGATTTTTCGTGTCGGCTTCCGCCGCTTGGCATCGGGCGCTCACGCGTGCGCAGAACGCTTCTCGGAAAAAGGTCCATTCCAGTCTTCTGTTCACAACGCACAACACTGCCATCACGATGTTGCTGCTATGTTGCTGAAACGCAGAAATAGAGAACCACGTCGATTGCCGGTTGGCACTCGGCAACGGAAAACAGAACCGAAATCAGCATGGAAGGCACTCAAGCAGCCGGCAGCGAAAATTGCCTATGTTGGACGCAGTTCCTGCGATTCCCATAATGCCGAAAGCGTCGACACAGTTCCGCGTGGTTCCGCGTGCAAGGTCCGCGTGGGTCCCGCAGTGCAGAGATGGCCATCTTAGCCCAGTGTACGTAGCGCTGCTGGCACTGCTCCGGAACTTCGCTACTTCTAGCGGCTTCGTTTGTTCGTTTGATAAAATTACTGGTAAAAACGTCAATGCAACCGAAATGTTCTGCACATTTAGACGAGAAGACGGAATTACAGGTGACCTTCGCTGCCGCTGAAGCTCAATCAACTCAACAGCTATTTATTAAACAACGTGAGCGACGTGCTCGAAAAACGAAACCGAAAGAAGATGAGTCGGAAGGGCGAAAGCTTTCTCCCGCCTGCCTGAAGAAGGAGAAAAACATATTGAGGTACTTAGCACACAAGGTAGAGAGAAGAAGGAGAGTACAGAAAAGAGCGCTACTCACAACTACGTTTACTGATAAGAAGGGAAGAGAAAGAAAACAGCCAAATAATCCGGCGCGGACTCGCGCATCTACCACAGCCCCCTGAATGATAGCGGCTACTTCATCCAGGCTCGTGCGGGTCCTTCATTGTTTGTTCAAGGAATTCCCTTTCCTTGTTTGTTAGCGTAACGGATTCAACGATAATATACAGTTCCTGTCCTCATGAAGGACGTAGAAGGCCCCCAATACCTCGCGGGTCAATTTGTCTTTGTTCTTGCCCGAGATGTTGGTCTCACGGAATAAAAGGTCTGGACGCGCATTCCCTGCAATGGAGAGGAAGATTTCCGCCCACTGTAGCCCTCAAGGAGTAATCATGCTCCCGGAGTCGGTCATTGAGGCATCTGCCCGTTTGGCCTATGTAGCTCTTGCCACACGAAAGAGAAAGAGGAAAGAAAGCCATTCTAGAGTACGGCTCGGCGCACTCAAAAAGCATCAAGAGGGGCATAGCTCTAACCATAGCCTCCTTTATACTGAAAATGCCTGCCCAATGGTTGCTTTGTCGTCGTCGCGCTTACTTCACAGATTTGCTGGTAGGGGCGCCAAAACCCCATACAGAAATGCAGACGACGCTTGTTCGCTGCCTGCTGCTACAGTTCACTGTACCTAGCGTAAGCTCCGTTTTCAGTTAAGATACGTGACAACGTAAGTTTTCTATGTTAAGTTACGCGGTAACGTGACCTTACGTGATCAAATAGGTCACTTGATCACGTAATTTTTTTGTGACACGAGTAACTTGTTTCGGTCGTCGTCACTCAGCGACGCTAAATAACATACCGTAATAGTTCCTGGCTTCTCTATCGATTTGGTCAAAGCAAGGCTTTGTTATCTTAGTCTGATCAGATTGACCACAATCTCATGCTTCTTTTCGGAGGCATTCCAAGCCTTCTTATGAACTGATGCCTCTTTTACCGACAAGTTTCCTGCGAAAAGAAGGGCGGTATTTTATTGTCATTTAACGATTTAACGAGTTGGTATGACATACTTAAAAGGTTAAAACAGCGCAAACAGCGCTCTGTCTGTGTCCTTCTTTACTCTGTCCGTCGTTTTTTGTGCAGTTTTAACCTTTTAAGGATTTTCTTGAACAGCCTTCACGAAAAACTTCTCCAATCGAGTCACCCAAACTACTCCCCGGACTACGTGGAACATTCCATGAATCACTGGAACCTAGAGACGTCCCTCACAACATCTGCAACTAAAAATTGACCATCACAGCGCAATGTAAAAATATGCTGCAGTGCACCCATGAAAATATTAGTTTCTTCTAATATGGCTAACCTACCCCGAAGTCGGGTAACACCTTCTTCAAGAACAGGCCTTTTTTTTTTTTTTTTTTTTTTCAGAAACTACTTTTTTTTTTTTTCTCTGCCTTATCCAGAGCCAGCACCTCCAGTTCACGCTCATGCTCCTAAACCAGTTATCTATCAATCCACGCTTCTAACTCCTTGGTTTGCGTGTCCATCTGGTCACGTTCTCTGAGCTCCCTCACCTACATTGCGGAGCGAATGCCTCGGACGCCCAAAGTGCCTCGTCCTGTCGCGGGACCCGAATTGCCCGGAAGGTTCATTAGTTCGTGGCTTTTCTGATATTAAAAACTTAGACGAGACAATTGGTGCGTTTGGAAGACGCTGCCAAGACGCGGCAAGCGCATTAGGGGAGCGCTTCCTTACGCCACGTAACGTAAACGGTGTCACTAGTGGTGCTGCCCATCGGCTGCCAAAAACGCTCCCGATACAAAGTTTCTGTGTCCAGAAATCACAATTAGATTGCCATATGGAGTTCTCCTTAGTATAGAGTAGCCTCGGTCTATTCGCGTCAGCTCTAGTTACAGTACAACAGACTCTCATGTGCTTTTCTCCACAAAATGCGCGGACTACCAGTCCAATATATGTGGCGTATTTTTCAAGTCGGACGAGTCTTCCATGATTCGCTATACTAAACTAAATGGGGTGGTGTATTGTCGACTCACTTATTAATTAACCGATTAGAAAATTAATCGTCTGTTAACTGTTTAACCAGTAAAAAGTAATCCATGAGGACGTGCAGGGGACATTCTTACACCTCCGCCAAACTCAACATCAGTACCTTCATTACAAGCGAGGCTTCTCCTGGTTACTATATTTCCTTAGTACACAATAGGGCACTTGTACGCGCGTACTAAACAGGTAAACACTTTGTGCATAAAATTAAATTGCTGCTTAGCTTCCTGCTAAAGAAGTATGTCTTTCCTAATGGCCCTCACCTTTTTTTTTTGCACATTTCTTCTGCCCATACTAAGGGAATGAGAAATAAAGCTCTATTCTGCTTGGTTAAAGTTTATGGCATCATATTTCAACAAAATAACTATTTTTCAGTAAATAAAATATCCTACACTTTTCCATCATTATTCCAGCACTTAGTAGTTGGCAAACTGACTTCAGTAAAAAATATGTATAGAAATTTTCAGCCCCCCCTCATTGAATTCGAATCTGTCAAAGCAGCCAATAGATTAAATAATTAATGGATTCTTAAAAGATAGTAGATACTGTTTCTTTATTGTTTATTGTATGAAAATCTAATCAATCCTTTCTCTAAATGTAAAACATCATAATTTTAAGATATTTTATTAATTTTATTAATTCACATTAGACCAAATAAAGAAATAATTAATCAATTAAGAGTCACTTAATAATGGGTTCAACATTCTTAATAAGTACACAGCCCTCAAAAAAGGTGCTGTGATATGTTTACTGCGCTAAAAGTGTAACTTAATTTTAAGTTACAACATATTTTGAAAACATTAAATATTAACTAATAATTTAGGACGCATATTATTTTTTTTTATTTTTGCAATCATAAAGGGACATTCAAATGTTCAAAGTATCAGCGCTAAGAACCCGACAAGTACAATTTGAATGTTTTGTGGGAAGGAAAGTGCGATTATATTTAGATATAAATTATATCTATATATCTTCCTTAACCAATTAGAGGTTAAGGAAGAGGTAGAAAATAGGCCAAAAACTAATTGTAAAGTTTTGGGCGATAAATTCCTATACTTTCTTTTTTTTTCAAACCGCAGCTTCTCTGTCAGTGTATGGTTTCTCCTTGATAACTGTATCGTCTGCGATTGAATCGAACGCAGGTGCAGTCATGGCGTCAACGGAATCCCCGACCGAAATGCCCGCCAATCCCGGAAGGCCTCCGGTGTGCCAGATGATCGACGGCTCTCTCTACAGCATGTTCCTCGACCCCGTGCTTTTCCGAAAAGCCGCGGAGCTCAAGACGGAGGACGGCGACATCATCCAAGTTACCTTCCCAAAGTGCGGCACCCACTGGGTCCAGCAGATCATCCAGCTCATCCTGAACAAGGGAGAGAGCCCCCGAGACTTTGAGGAGTTCGTCAAGAGGGCGCCCTTCCTCGAGTACCAGGGCGCCGAAGCCCTCGAGGGCATGGCGTCTCCGAGGACCATCCGAACGCACCTGCCTATGAACAAGATCGCCTTCAACAAGAACGCAAAGTACGTGTACGTGGCCCGCAACCCCTGGGACTGCTGCATGTCTTCGTACCACTTCATGACCATGATGCCGCAGTGGCAGATGCGCGAAGCCACCTTCGACGACTTCCTCAAGGTCTTTGTGAAGGGAGAGTGGGGCTTTGGCGACTACTTCGAGCACGTCATGGGCGCTTACAAGCTCAGGGACGAACCTAACGTGTTCTTCGTGACGTACGAGCAACTCAAAGAGGATACGCGTGAGACTATACTCAAACTCGCCTTTTTCCTGGGAGACGACTATGGGAGGATGCTCGAGAATGACAATGATTTGATGGAAGACGTCATAAGAAAAAGCGGCACCGAGTACATGAGGGACATCGTGAAGACCAGCAACGCGAATCTGGCTTCGTTGTTCATCAAGAATCCTCTGCTGGTGTCCAGGTTACCTAAGCCCTCCGACGACGAGAAGGAGAGCAAAGGTGGCAAGATCAGCTTCGTTCGCGTCGGCAAAGTGGGCGGCTGGAAAGAGGAGTTCACGCAGCATCAGCTCAGGATACTTCAGGAAAAGATCGAGGAAATCTCGAAAGACTCGGACATCATGGACCTGTGGAAGAAGCAGTGGCTCAGTGCTAAAGAGGAAGCCGCCAAGTAAACAAACATGATATAGACGCTTCACACACGCACCAAATTACAGCCGCCATTGTTGACCTTCTCTTGTGTTTCCCAGATGCCGAGCCACTAAAGAAGGTTCGACGAACCTCCACAAAGATCAATGTTGTGGAGAAGGACACAGCAGAACCTAAAATGACAATAACTTGCCATGCTATGGTAACGATGAAATGAAGTAAATGTAATAAGAGGAAACAAAAACCGAAGGTCGGTTATGGTGGCGCCCACGCACAGCTCCTGCAAAGCGTCTATACACGAGCGTTTGTTTCTTCCTTGAAAGTGGAACTTGATTCGAAGGCACTATAAGAATTTTAAAAAATGATCGACATAGTTGGCTTTACAGAAAACCGTCTACTCTTCAAGTCTGTCGCTGATTTGTATGTCCAACCCAAGCTGGGGGATTAAAAAGTAATGGCAATGTTCTGACACAATTCCAGTTTCGTCATGTCAACCAGATATTCTATAATAATAATAATAAAAAAAAAAACGCCGAAAGTTAACTATTGGGTGTTTGGGAGAAAAGTGATCCGTGTTTTTCTGACCGCAAAACTAAACTAGGCAACGTAAATACCGCTTTGAATTATTTCTTGACATTAATAACATATGAAACGTGCGCTATAGTGTTTTTTTTTTTTTCGTTTTTTTTTTTTGCGCAAAAAGTTGTGAATAACCTGCAGCGTTCAGCCCCTCATCTTGCAGCCATAACAAGCGTCCACGTGATCCGGTGCCGATTATATGCCGCTAATGTTTATCATAATCACGAGCTGAGGTTGGCAAAGCGAATCCCGGACAAAGGCTCTCCGGATAAAAGCTCTCCGGACAAATGCTCACCGGACAAAATTCCAAGGGCCAAGAGCTCACCTGTATTTTCACAGAACCGAACAAATGTTCACCACTTTCTTCACATACACGGACAAATTCTCAACAGGAAGAAACTTCACATGGGTCTTGACACGAGCCCATTCAGATTAGGGTCACGTGTGCAGCCCCACGAAGCAGTGAAACATAGATCTGACAAGCACGTGGATTGTTAAGGAAGTAGAACACAAGCTTATTGATTTGTTTCTTAGACACGTTTGCATTCCCTACTGCCCCTAACAGTTTTGCAAAATCTCAGTGCAGCTGGAAGTGCTAGGAAATATTCTTCAAGTGAATGTTGTTTACCAAATTTCTTTAACTTTAGGCTCAATTTTCCATGCTTAGATGAACGCTGCAGCAACGACTGTTTTATCCTATTGAAGGCACTCAATAAAAATCCAGACGCTTGGATGGGCGTGTCCGACACGCTTCTTGAACCCGTTCTTACAGACTTCGCAGGCGTTATTCGTCCGGACCTCTTCTCGCAGTGATACCTCGTGCACGTACCCCAGTTCTCTGGGAAACTCTCGTGGTCGTGGGCATATTATCACGGTCACTGAAACATTCGTTGCTGGTGCCGCAGCTGATATACAAGGAAAGCGGGGGTCCCACGGCTCATACATTATGCAAAAGACAGCCTGAAATCACTAGTCATCGCAATATCCGTGGTTAGAATGCCGCGTGCCAACTTTCTGCTTGAACTCATTGTGATACGGCGTTGGAAGTACAGATCTCGCGTTGACTCGCGTTCGAGTCTGCATGCAGACCGGTTTTTGTATAAAGTATAAGCACTGTGACCTCGGCCTAAAATGGGCCGTTGACATATGTAGACGTTACGTAGTTAAGAAGGTCACTGATATTTCTGGTAGCCGTTCCCCTAATGTCATTCGCTCCTTCGGGCAAAAGCTGAGGATGGAGGAACATCAGGCCACCCAGCATACTGCAGATCTTTCACTGGTCGTCAAACTTGTACTTATCCAAGAGGGCCATTCCCCGAACCTGCGAAATATAGAGTACATACTCCATCTCACAAACATTTGCAGTGCCATAAGCTCCTCTATACTCACAAAGCCTGGCAGTTCGATTGCGGAGCCAAAGAGTGCCCGGTCGCAGATTTGGAGCGCGAGGATCTGGTAGCACAGAGCATTTCTCGGGGAGTCTGGTGTTCAGCGCATAGCTTCTGCAGCGGCGAGGACCCGAAACATGGTTTTCAAACCCGACGAGAAACAAATTGGGTTGTGTGTGTGTTTATACAGCCTAGAACTTGGTCTGCCTCACAGGGGCGACGAGTCTCCCAGCTGTAGATGAGCAATTTAGCCAGTGTGGTACAGCCGCTAGCCTGGGGTCTTTAACGTGCATCACGCAGTAGTGATACACGACCGCACGCCGGTACGATGCTCATCCAGATCGAAACGGGCAGGGGTGGGGCTCGAACCCAGGATCCCTGGGTTCTGCAGCGCGAGCTTTCGCTCCACGTGCTCCGAGCTGGTGTGCGCTAGACCACTCGGCCACCGATCCCCCCAACCCGACGAGAAGAGAAGCGGTAGCCCGAGGAACGAGAGAAGCACGAGATTCTATCGCTCGGGACAAGTGTGTTAGGGGAATCGGTGGCCGAGTGGGCTAAAGCGCCTACCCAGCCACGGCCGGACTGGAAGCGCGTGGAGCGAAAGCTCGCGCTGCAGAACCTAGGGATCCTGTGTTCGAGCCCCACCCCTGCCGGTTGAGGGCGCAAGCGCGTCCGCAAGACGCGACCATGTTATGGTGGCTGCACCCTCTAGGTGGCTCTGTAACGTTCGATTTTGCACGTGCCACGTTCGGATACAAGCCTCGTTCAGCATCTGTAGCTAAGGAAATAAAGATTTAAAAAAAATTATACAACTCGTGGCAGCTGCGTCCAATTAAGGCCACGGTCCCACTGAATGTGGCAGTTTAGGTACTTTTTGGCAGGTCATTACTCATCTCCTTTTAAATACTGTTTTGTGGGATTGATGTCATTCGAAAGGCAATGCAATCCTCTTTCATTTGATATTACGTATGTGTTGGTTTTTACTGTTCATGCGCGTTTGTAGCGTTTCCGTCTTCCACTTTAAACAGTTTGCGACAAAGCAAAGCAACATTACATGAGCTTCCTAAAGCCGAATCTAATGCTGAGGATGTCGCACTTTTGAATCATGACGATCGGCAGTTGCGCCTGCTCTGCACAAGCACGATAATGGCGGCGTTCACAACACTGTCGGGGAAAAGTGTGCCGATACTCTAAGCGCAGCTCATTTATTGGCTCTACACTCTTAGAAAAAAGGGTACGGATAGTCCTCCCTTACGGGAGGAACGGTCTTGTAACCTATGTTCCTTTAGAAAGGGAGAAACCTTCGTCCCTGAAGCGGGGGAGCAAAGTTCCTCCGTCGCTTGCATCTCAATATGGCGGCCCCGAATCGAGCAAATCGAGCCCAATAAGGCTTAACGAGGACGCTACGTCTCTTGTACGGGACGAGAGCAGCAGCAAATGAAAGCGTAACACGAGCTTTCCGCAAACTGTGTTTATTTCCGAAGCCAGATTCCCCCCACAGGTACAGAAACCTGCGTTTCGAAAGCAGTTACTCAGTCTCTCGTCAACAGCACTGCGATGTTAAACGGAGACAACCGACACCCAGTTACTTCGCGCACTTTGCGTCTTACCTTTGGTGTTCCTCGAATCACAATTCCTTCGTCAACCGCACATCACGGAGAAGGGCAAACTCACTCCGCGAAACTAAAAGCCGCTCTCGAAAGAACGAACTCGAAGCCGCTGTTTATCGCGTAGCGTGAAAGAAGGTTAAATCGCTAGCCACCAGATGGCGGGGTCAAGCAGAGTAATTGCAAGTAGCTAGGCTAGGTGGCGCTAGGTACCGCCCAATTCATGTTCTACAAAAAATAATTTGCTTCTTTCAGGCCACTACTGCGCCTGAGGACCCTCCACTATACACACATGACACCCATACACATTATTACAAGCATCAGGTGAACATACATTAAGCACATGCACTGCTCACACAAATATCAATACAACGGAACACCACACTAACCCGAACACTACACCCGTGCTCTGCGTTTCCGTCTTTTATACTGGTCGTTTTGAACGCACGGAACTTTTCGGTGACTCCCTAAGCAATAAAAAATATTCCCAGCATGTTGAATTTTTTCCTGCAATGTCATACCTCTGAGAGTATTTTGAATGGCTCAGGGGTTGAATCTCTTATTAAAAAGTAAACGCTCAATCATGCCGTAATTATTTGAAAGCCAATAAATCAAGCCGCTCCAATGCGGTTCGAAGCCATAAGTTTGTTTCCCCACACGGCACGTCGTAGCTTGTATTTCTATTTGTTTTTCTATTTGTGCTGTTCGCGCAGAGCTGCAATTGCCGTTTGAATTAATCTCTGTAGAGCGGATATTCAGCAGCTGGAAGTGATGCTTCACGGACTGAGAAATTGCTTTTCGATCAACTTGAATGTAGTCAAAGCCGCGACTTGCGGCAGGTTTAAGTGTACGGAACTACGCCGTGGCGAGCCCGAAAACTTCTAGCGCTCATCCCAGCGCACCACGGAGGGCAGTTTCTCCAGCAACCGTATAATTAAACAGCAAAATAAAGGGTAGCTTTTTTTCGATTTTACCTACTATTGTTTTTAATGCCGAAATTCCATACTGTAAATATACATATACGTACTTTACGTCACGATTTCGTACTGTTCAGTCCTTGCCCTTGAGCACAATCGCTGTCGGGGACGAGACAATTCCGACAGTCACATTGGCCACTGTACGATAGGAGCTTCTACTGTTCAGACCATGACTATCCGCACGTTGATCGATTGCACGTAATCCCTCAAGGGGTATTAAACTTTTGAATGTAAAGCGGAATGTCAACCTGCGACACCCCGCCCCCTCCGATCACAACCCGACCAGCGGCATCAATGCCCAACAGTTTACGTTCTTATCTTCTTGTTACACCACTGATACGCGAACACATGGTCACATCGGCGATAATTCCAGTCTTCTGTTCACAACCCGACACTGTCATCACGATGTTGCAGCTATGTTGCTGACACGCACAAACACAAAACCACGTTGAACGCCGGTTGCACTCGGCATCGGAAAACAGAACCAAACTCAGGGGGGAAGGCACCCAGGCAGCCGGCAGCAAAACCTGCCTGTCTTGGACGCAGTTCCTGCGGTTTCCATAACGTCGAAAACGTCGACACAGTTCCGCGTGCTTTCGCTACCGTAGTCTGTAGTGCTGCAGCCTGCAGTGGCTGTAGTTCCGTGCCGCGCGAGTCACGCAATCCGGAGACGGCCATCCCCCAGTGTACGTGGCGCTGCTAGCACTGCTCCGGGACTTCGCTGTTTCTAGCGGCTTCGTTTGCTCGTTTGATAAAATTAGTGATAAAAATGTCAATGGAACCGAAATGTTCTGGACGTTTAAACTAGAAGACGGAATTACAGGCGGCCTTCGCTGCTGCTGAAGCTCAATCGACTCAACAGCTATTTATTAAACAACGTGCGCGACCTGCTCGAAAAACGAAACCGAAAGACGATGAGTCGG